TGCCCGCTCCGAAATGCTGCAGGCTGAAAAGCTTGGTGTGAACTTGGTATCCTGAGAAGTTCATTCAGATCTACAGCAGGCCTCCCAAGGAGAAAATACCGGTGTTAACATCAGAAAAAAGAACGTTTATTTGTTCTTGCCGTTCAAAGGAGACCATGTATCAAATGATATCGGACATAAAGTCCGGTCCGCCCTTACGCGCACCTACGCGACCGCCCAGTTGCGACTCATACACACAACGCGAAGCCTCGTTCTTCACGATCGTCAGAGTAACTAACTCATCAGTCAGTTCATCCTCTCAGGTCGTTTGCCAGCTCACTTGCGGTTGCGGTGACATTTACATAGACAGGGCTGACCGTCAGTTAGCTCAAACGGTAGCTGAACATGTGCTGAGGTGGTTGGAACAACTGATGACGCAATAAAACGGAGTGGATCCGAGGATGAACCTGAGCCCAGCATCATCTATCACCAAGTATCTCTTGGCAACTGGACATCAGGTGAACCCGGAGACTGCGTTCAAGATGTTATTACGCAACAACAATCCGATAATTTTGACAATTAGTGAGGCTTTGCTAATTATGGCTTATCAACCTGTGCTGTGTGCAGAGAAATAATTGAGACAATCAATTAAGTTACCGTGGTCTTGATTTCGACATTTTGATTGGTGTGCTAATTTTCCCTCTGTATATAACTGTCTATGAATCCCACTTACGTTGTGTTTGCGACTGATGAGAACAATCGAAATGTTGCCATATCGCAACTTATGTCTTCTCGCTACTCTGACGAAATGGCTGAAGGGGACCCACTGTTTTACATTTATCTGTTAGTTACTTGATTGTGAGGAATCCCCAACGCTACCATTCTCTGTCACAGCAAAGTTGCGTGAAGAACCCTATCTAAAGGCTCAACTGCATTGACGAATTTCAGGTTCTGGATTGGATCCCCAACTTAGGTTGTTAAACAATGAGTAGTTTGCATTGAATTGGACGGACTCAACTTTTGCGGCGCCTTTGATTTCGATTTCTGGATTCTACTGTCAACATTTACTGTTCTGAATATTTGCCTACGCTTTGATTTGACACTTTTCCTTCCTGATTTTCTTGAGATACACCAGAAATCGACAAACAACTCAGAATTTTACAGAACCCGAAAATAACCCATTGTACAGTCCAACCTACTTTGGCGGCCAGCTATCGAAGGTGACCACTTTCGTCGGTCCCTTGGGTGGTCGCCTTAAACACCTTTGACTTTATTCGCTTGATAACGTTTCGCTTTTTACACCAAAGCTTCATCGGGCCGGTTGAACCCATCGATAATTGCTGTAGGGTTTACAGCGAACTGGGAAGATACTAGCGTTGACCGAGAGGTGTGTAAGATACTAATCTTGTTATAGTTCAATACGTTACTTTAAATCATACATTAAGCAAAGAAAGATCCCAACCGATTCACATTAGTGGGCCATCGTATGTAGGTGAACATGTAATATACTGAGAACACCATTCACTCAGTTTTCGGTCTTTGTGTCTACTACCCCGATTTTACCATAAGTAACGCACCAATGATCAGCTGCTTCATTTAGCTTAATGATAATTCGGTGTCAGAAGTAAAACATCACCCACCAAGTATATTTTTCCTTCTTCCCTTCGCTTTTAAATTTCCGTATTTTTGGAAAGCACGGAAAGAAGACGAAAGCTGGTACATGCATGTATTTCGTATTGTTTCCTCAATACTATTAGCAATAACCGATATGCATATAGGTAAAAGTGGGTGTGTCCACACAAGCTTGAGGTGTGGAACCAATGACGGAAGTTCACCCCTACGTCCGGGACAGCTTTAGGTGAACAATTAATTATTTCTGAAAGCACAGGGCGGGCTTCTTCGGGCTTATAGCAATAGCCTCAGCAAACCGAAGGAAGCGGGGATTAGCGTGGCGTAAAACAACTTTGGATAGAGCTAGGTTCGGCGTGCACAAGACGACCAGAGAAGCTGAAACACTTCGTATAGGTGGATCAGGAATAAAACGAGCCGCAGTACTCTGCCTTGGGGTGCATGGCTAGTGGAGGGGTACTAGTCCATAAATTGGTTGTCTACCTGTACCCGCCATCTTCTCTCAAAAGGAAGTCACTGATGCACTGGTGCAGTAGGTCACCAACACCACACATCCTCAGCTTGTGGAGCTGGACCTCATGGTTCACTTTATTGAAGCTTTACTGAAATCTACGTAGCTAACATCCACTGAGTTCCATCGGTTCAACACTTGCAACCATTCCTGCAGCATCGACAGTAGGTTGATGATGCATGAGCGGCCCTTCATGAAGCCGTGCTGTGCCGGCGTTAGGAGATCGTTCGACTCCAGCAGCTAGAGAAGACCTTCTTTCACAATCTTCTCGAGCACTTTCGCCAAAACAGAAGCGAGACAAATCGTTCGGTACTTGTTCACATTGCGTGGATCACCGCCTTTTGGAATTGGCTTCACTACAGACCATTCCAGTCGCTCGGCAATGTACCCTCTGACAGCGATCTGTTGGACAGATCCGTCACCGCAGGCGAGATGATGGCCGATAAGGACCTTAAAATCAGCTGCTGAAGTCCATCGGGTCCGACAGGTTCCGTGCCGTCAAGACTGGTGAGTAGACTGCGGACATCTGCTACACTGCAATCCAGGCCCTCGAGTTCAACAGGGGGTGCACACGTCGAGCTTGGCATAGGCGCATGCCTACTTGTAAATACGGCAGTGAAGTGCTCCGCCAATTCGGATGCACTTTCGTAGCTGGAGGTTAGAGGCCCTCTAACACAGCTAGGTCACTTGCGGGCCTCAGGCGCCGCTTCACGTAGGCAAAAACTCTTCTTGGGGGCAGTCTTCGCTGAGGTTGCATGCCCTTCTTCGAACTGCCGACGCTTTTGCACTGTTGCCTAGATTCCGCTGCCTTTTGTATGTCTCATAATCATCGGCAGAGCCAGACACGAGGAATTTACTCCACAATACGCTTCGTCATCGAGCCACTTGGCCATACTCTCTGCCGAACCAATGTGGCTTCACTGGTCCAGCTTTCCGATACTTGAGGGGTACGAAACGAGCGCACAACCATTGCACACTCTCTTTTATAACAGACCAACAGACTTCAACAGATGAGTCCTGTGGCAGCGACCAGTTCACTTCAATAGCGGCTCGATTGACACTATCGAAGCCGGTCTTCCATTACTTGGAGGACGGATCCGGCGGCCGCGAATAGGGTAGCTGTAACTGTAGGCTGGCTAACACCATCGAGTGGTCACTAGCTGCCAGAGGCTCCAGGACCTGAATTTCATATACGTTACTCGCAACTCATTATTAGTAGGCCCATGTATGATGGATCAGGCCGAGTGAACCAGTTAATCATTGGTATAGCACCTATAGCCATGCGGAATATAATGAACAAAGAAAAGGACAATTTTCCAGAGGGGCATAACGCTCCTGTCGACACTGGTGCACTTGAAGATCCTACTCCCAGCAGATACGGCAACTAATTGCGTCTACACAATTAGTTGCAAATACTGCGTACATGTGTACATCGGCTAAACCGCGAGAGAGTTACACACAAAGATATCGAAACACAAGAGACGCACCAGACTCCGATGGCTGGGCCACGTGTTGCGCATGCCAGCCCACCGACTCCCTCGACGTGCGTTGTTTGCTCACCGGGGATGTGGGTGGAAGAAGATGAGAGGTGGCCAAGCGATGACTTGGTCCAGAGGAATGAAGTCCCTCACTTCGGAGCTAGCCTCGGTTGGAGCTTCACGGCTCCCTGGATGGGATCCAAAAGACGGTGAACACGTTTGGCTGGATACAGTTGCTGACATGGCAAGGAGCCGACCTCAGTGGCGTTTGTGCTGTGAGTTTCTTTGTCCCTCCCCATCCCTTTTAGCCTTCCCCCTCCATCTACGATCACATTTCGTAGGGTAAAACATAATATTTTTTTCTTTTTGCCCAGTAGCTGGCTGGTAGCTTACCGGAACGATGCCTATCCGTTGCTGGTAGCTCAGCTGGCATGCAACTGTCGTATTTATTTTTTCTTTATGTATTGGATGTATGTATGTGTTTCCTTTATATATTGCGGTACAATAGCGGAGGTGTTTTATCACCTCTAGCTGACATGTATAATGATGATGATGATGACATAGCTTGGCCGCCGAGAAACGAGCTTGAATACGAGGCTTTAGTAAGCGATTCACATGATAAATACAGGTCATGATGTCGACTTCGATAATGTCGAATCGTTAGGAGGAGTTACGATCCGCGCCGCAAACGCCGTTGAGATTAGCAAGGGAAACATCTACGTTAACAAAATGGACATTCGTCCTGATTGTCTTTCTAGTTCGCCATAAGTGCTACAGCAATCATCGACTGGTTCACTCGACCTGATGGAACTTTTGTGTGAAAAACGAAACGTTGCCTACAAACTATGCTAACCGGCTGTTTCCAAACCCTTCTGAAATCTCTCTCTATTTGTTCCAAGCATTTTCCAAGATATACAGAACGCGTAGCTAAACATCTTTCTGCTCCATCGAAATACTATTAAGCACACACGCGGAACAACCACATTTATTGTCGTGCATTTTCAACACATTTCACTTTCGAAACCTTCTGTTCAGGTGTGATGCGCACATGAAATCGGTAATCCGCAAAGTGGGCGCCTAGGAGTTTCTTTAGCACTGACACCGATTTCGCTTCGACTATTGTCAAACAAGCTGTTCCGATAATTTACCATCCGACGCTCGAAACATAACGAGCGAGCCGTACGCTTCCAATTCCGATACTAGAAGCTTGTTCCGGTGCTTGTGTGTGTGCTGTCTCAGTGAGTGCTAAGTGATTCCGCAGTGGCAGTATTTCATGAGACACTGCTTTACGCATTTGCATTGAACGTTTGGTTAAATTTCATGAAAACGTCTTCTGCTTGAATTCTGTCTGCTATCAAGTTACGTATATTAGCGTGGTACCACGTTCAACTTTTTCACCCCTAATGATATCTGGGGTTGTAATCCTGTGTTATCTGATAACAGTTCCGGTTCGCGAATTGGTCTAATTGTTGCCTTTTTATCGTATTCTGATTCACAGACCAGTCTTACCAAGTCTTTTGTAAATCAAGCGGGCTACAGCACCATAACCACAGAAAACTCTGGACCAGTCAGCGTTGTTTTTCACAATGGACTTCCAAACCTTTACGTTCCTTTACCGTCACGCAAAGAAACTTGCGTCTTCATCCTAAAGCCCTTACAACACACCCTGGGTGATTTGGCCAGTTTCATCAAATCAGAAGATCATGGAGTGGATCACGTCGCATTCCTGAATAAGGGTAAGTCACAAATTGCTGCAATCCTTGAGCATTATTGACTCGGCATATTCGCCTTCCTTTCTGCGCCAGCCGCTTTTCATACACGCTCGCTGTTTGTTCATGGTTGCCTTTTTATTGTGTGGGCATCGATCGTTTTACATCGATCCTCGTGTCATGCTTGACGGTGTGTGTGTGAATGCATTGGGGTTTCTCCCTCTCCGCATCCTTAAGGACCACGTGTATTGCGCAAATCGACGCGGATGCAGATATAACCACATTAGTTCAACACTGTTGATAACTTAAGCTGCGATCCAAATGAAACTTGTGTGTCTTGTCTATCTACACAACTGGTGCTCGGCTAGTCAAACAATGAACCTTTTCGTCTGGTTTTACTGTTACTTGCCTAATTTTGCAACTGTGCTTGAAATTTGCGGATAATTAAACCAAACATGTACACCAATAGTATGATTAGGATGATTAACTGGAGAAGTACTGTATGTGACAACACTAACTTCACGAACACTGATTTCACCAAATGGACCACGTTTTATGAGTATTTTCTACCCATAATGCACTCACGATGCATAAATCAGAACCAGATTTGAGATGCTGCATAACAGAGCACATAATGGAACTAGGCCTCCAATCGTGTGAAAACTAGCCTAATTGGTAGCACCCAGTAAATGGCCATCGTAAAACGTATGCACAACACAGATGTAATCTACGCAAACCGCGAGTGCATCAGTCTACGATGCTTGTGTCCATAGGACGGCCCAATGGGATGCGTTCCACCTTAATCAAATTTTTGCCACCATTAGCTCATCAGTATATCAGCTGCAGTGCCTTACTCTCTAAGGGGTTGCTCATCATATCCTTTTCTCACAAGGTAGCATGATTTCCTCCGCGGTACTAGTATGGTCACCACCCGTACCTCTTCTTATACAACTTGCGCTTACTTGGATCCATAACTGTCTGCATGTTACGATTGAAACCTGTTGTTAGACCCATCATAAAGCTAGCATGTATGTATGTATATATGAATTCTCAACAGTCTATTAGCTAGACAAAGAGCCAGCCTAAAACCATGGAGACAAGGAGATAAGCAAGATTCATGGCGTCATAATCATCGTGGCATGCTAGTTGAAGGTGAGCAACACACTTCAACTAATATGCCGCAGGAAGAATGGAACATTTTGATAAAAATCAGAACAAACATTTTTAGTTTGTTTTTCACACGCCGCTTTTGTTCTTTTTTGTCATTTTAATGTTTGTAGAATTAAACATGTGAATCAATACAATAATGTACACAATTCTTCCACTGATTCCGGTTGCGGGCCATATCTTCAAGAGTGCTAAGCCATTGGCACTCCTCATCTTTGGGTCTCCATCCTGGAAGACGTACGGATCCTACAGCGGCTAGACACGACGTCAGCGATTTCATGTGCTGCCGCCAAGTGGAAGGCTGACCACCACGCGGTCGCCTCCAGCCAGGTCCTTGACGAGCGAATAGAGCGCGACGCGGTAGACGCTCAGGTGTCATGCGTAGAACGTGACCGAGCCATCTCAACTGGCGCAACAAAACCAGTTTGTTGAAGGGAATACTCGCATTCCCCAAGACGCGACGTCGAACGTCATTACTATTTACTCGATGTTGCCACCAAACACGCGCGATCCTCCTTAAGCAACCGCTATCGAACGCAGAAAGACGACGCATGTCCTCCACGCGAAGCGGCCAGGACTCGCACTTATACAACAATATTGAGCGAACTGATGCACTGTAAACTCGGCCCTTTAGTGAGAATGAGACGTCGCGACGACGCCACAAGTGCCTCAAATTGACAAATGCCGATCGAACTTTAGCGATACGAAGCGAAACTTCTTTGTTGATTGTGCCGTCAGCGGAAACACAGCTCCCAAGGTAGACGAAACTATCTACCTGTTCAAGTTGTGCACCATCGAGAGTGAGTACGGGAGCAGGCGAATGCCAATCTTTGAGCAGTATTTTACACCTCGATGGGGCGAAGCTCATGCCATACTTAGATGCTTCAACCGCCAAACGATCAAGAATGAGTTGCATACTCTGAGGATCGTCACCAAGTAAGGCGATATCATCAGCATAATCTAAGTCGGTCGCGCGCTCACCCGGTAGAAGCTCTAGGCCAAAATGTTGGAAACCTTCTAGAGCATTCGACAGAACGTCTTCAATTGCGAAGTTGAAGAGGAATGGGGACATAGGGCAGCCCTGTCGCACACCGCTATTGACAGTGAATTGCGAGGAAAGCTTGCCATAGACCCTCACTCTGCCGCATGTATGAAGGTAAAGTGCTCGTAAGATGGCGGTATATTTCTCTGGCACCCCGTTCTTTAGTAAGCAACGCCATAAAGCAGGACGATCAACGGAGTCAAAAGCGGCACGTATGTCTAGAAATGCAATGATAGTGGGCCTGTGATAAATGTGGCGATGTTCGAGGAGCTGGCGGAGCGTGAAGATTTGATCCACACATCCGCGGCCAGGACGGAAACCAGCTTGTTCCTCACGGTAGTATGATTCACGTACTGGGGATAGCCTGCGAAGCAGAATGGATGCCAATAGTTTAGAGGCAACCGAAATAAGACTAATCCCGCGATGATTTGCACATGAAGTGCGAGCGCCTTTCTTGAAAATCGGGATAATGACTGATTCTCCCCAAGAGGAAGGCACTTTCTCTTCATGCCAAATTTTTGCGAACAGCGCGGTCAGCTGGTTAATGATCGCCACACCGCCGTACTTGAATAGCTCCGGAGGAAGTCCGTCTAATCCGGCAGCCTTGAAGCGCTTCAAGCGTCGAATCTCAAGGCCGACTTCCGCTTCTCTAGGTGGATTCAGAGGGACGAGCCAGGGTGGACAACAACGTGTACTGCATGTACTGATGGATGGTGGAGGCCAGTTGAACTGCGAGTGAAAATGCTCGGCCCAACGGTCCATACGCCTCTGTTCGTTGGTGATCGGAGACTCATCCACCTCACAAATGACCTCACTGACACCAGGTTTCCTGAGGCCAGTGGACCGAATGAGTTGGAAAAGCCTGCAAGTGTTGCCACAGAGGGCAGCGGTCTCCATCTCTAAAGCACGTTCAGACCACCATGTCTCGCGATCCTTGCGTAGGCTTTGCTTGAGCAGCCGGTTGGCAGAACGGCGCGGCTCGTTGCAATCTGATTCCGCGGGTATATCTTTACGGCGTTCGAACAGCTCCAGAGAACGAGCAGAGATCCAAGCCTTCAATGGGCGTCGAGTTAGGCCACAGCATGACTGTCCGGAAATGGTCATTGCCTTCCGTATACAAGTCCAGTGTTGTTCCACTTCTTGCGGTGGATTGCAACTGAGTGCATATGCCAATGAAGACTGAAAGCTCGTCTGGACAGAGGAATCAGTTAATCTGTTTACATCAATCTTGCGGTGCTTCGTGTTTCGGGATCCTCCAAAACACATACAGATTTTCGCGCAGACCAGAGCATGATCTGAGTCAACGAATGTGGACCAAAAGGACCTGCAGTCTAGTACGCTGCCGCGCCATCTGAAGCTAATTGCAATGTGATCAATTTGAGACCACGGTTGTGTTGAAGAAGGGGGACGCCACGTTGCGGAACGCTTCTTCGTACGCCTGAAGTTAGTGCTCGAAAGAAACAGACGGTTGTCTTCGCACAATGTGAGAAGTCTCTCTCCGTTATCAGAGCGGTTCTCATCGAGCGCGTGATGACCACCAAGGTGGCGTTCGTATGGTAACAGGCGACCAACCCGTGCATTAAAATCCCCAGCAAGGATAACGACATCCGACATTTAGCATTAGTCAAGAGCTGTTGTAGATCCCGATAGAATTCGTCCTTGACCGAGTCGCCACTGCAGTCAGTTGGAGCGTACACGGAGATCACAAACAAGTTGTGTCTCTCTTCGCGGTGTCTGTTGATTCTACACGAACCCCGAAGACGAACTGCACATAATCGGCTGTTAATAGGGAACCAGTCCAGTAGTGCCACCTCGGCCTTGTCACTTAGTGCTATACCTACACCAGCCAGACCCGCTGAGGCTGCTTCTGGATCTCCAGAAAGACGTAGGCGATATCTGGCGTCTTGGGCAGTGGATGATGTCAGTGTAAGCACAGTGCTGGGATCTTGCAATCGAGTTTCTGAAAGGCAGCAGACATCAATGTCTAGGGAATCTAGAGTGCGCGCTAGACCGGCTTGCTGTCCAATCTGCATGAGTGTCCGAACGTTGAAGCACGCCAGACGGAACGAGGATCGGAGACGAAGGAGAGCCATGGGTTGAACCTTTTGGTCTGCGGCGCAACCGGAATCGCAGCCAGATTGCTGAGCACATGAATCGGGTAAAGGAAAGTGAGGATTGTGAACAAACAAACAATTGGCGTGTGATGAAGTCGCGTGAAAGTGACTAGCAGAAACAGCAGATGAGCAAGTTGTAATACAGTCCATGGTTTTGTGAGAGGGCGTGATACTACCCGGTTGCCCAAGCCGAAGTAGGGAGTTGACTTAGAGGACTCCACCCCGAGCCTTTGGCTAAATAACCTACCCACAAGGCAGCGGGGCGAATTTAGGGAATCGCGCCCATTGGGAGGCGTTGACTGAATGTTCAGTTCATGCGTCTTTGTTTGGTAGATTACCAAACAGGGGCCCAATACTCCCCATATAGTCAGCACACCTGCTGGAATACAATGTCCCACCGAGGTGGAACATTGTCGCCGAACACTTTGCTGTAACGGGGTACACCCGAACCACCCAGCTGGCACCACGAGGAGGTAGTTCGGCCATCCAAGTTAGAGACTTTGTGTTTTTATTTTGCGGCATAAAATGGTGGTAGTGTTACGTGGAGTGCCTCAATACACTTGGGCGTTTCGGCTTCTCACAGCTCCACTCCCATACCAGTGTCGTCTTGCTGGTGGTTTATCCTTTATTGGAACCCAGTCAATCGTTGAAACAGATTCTTATTATATTAAGGTAAATGGTTTCTTAGCTTCAAACAAATCTGG